ATTCATCAAAGCTGCTCGTTTTACAAATTCGCCTTGTAAATTCTCCACTTTACTTACAATAGGTTTAAAAATGCTGCTTTCCGAATTATATTTTGTATTTATCTTCGGCAAAGCATAATTATAATTATTTTTATTAAAATCACAATCTCGACGTAATTGACACGTCTTATCACTCACGTCAACATTACTTATCATTTCTGGCAAAACCGAGAAGCTATCTAAACTTTTTGATATCGGTTTCAAAGGAGACTTTTCTTTCTTTGATCCAATATGTGTCATGGACTTAGAAGAAGAAATTTTATTGTCAATATCCACTTTTGACAACTCGAAATTATATTTTTTCAAAATATCTTGACTCAAAATTAAATAATTTTCAAGATCGTCTACAACCAGCAACTTCGAAGGATATTCCTTCCCATTAATCATTAACGACACTTTGGTGGACGACTGCACATTTATTGGCGTTGCACCCACTGTACGTAATGGAAAACTTGGAGTATCATCGATACGCAACTGCAACCTTTCCGCAAAATAACGAGAAATTACGGAAACTGAAGCATTAGTATCCACCAACGCCTCGCAACATACATAATTAATAAAAACAGATATAAAAGGCCCTATCTACACTAAAACTATCAATTCTAGACAAATTTTCTACATGTTCAGCTGCGCTTTGCTGACATTCACGTTGAGGAGATCCCGACGAAGATCCACTACTATGTGCCTGTGAATACCCTTGACTTGGCGTATCCTGATGCACGACTGGTGCTCGTGGCACTTGATATTCCGACTGCTTAGACTCGGGTCTAATTATCGGTGCAGAATCACCCTGTGTTTGCCAACAGTGAGAGTGTTCCATATGACAATATACTGGCAATACAATATCTTCCCGACTCACACTATAACTGTGATTAAATATATCATCTACTTGGATAATTGTTTTTCTCAACTCCTCTTTAGATAAATACAAATTACTAGCCAGCATCCATTTAAAATTGGGTAACAAAGACTTCAAGAAATGTTTAATGAACTGAACATCTTGAATATTCGCTTTCGTCGCTAACTCATCTAAACTATAAAAATAACTTATCAGCGATTCATTAGGCCCCTGTCGCCTATAATAAAATTCACGGGAGTAATCAATCTGTGAGGGAAATTCCTCTCTTAGCTTCTGTGCAATCACATCATACGTCATGTATGAAGAAAAATACGTTTTGTACCATTGTAGAGCTGGCCCCTCCAAATACAATGCAAACACGTATCTCTTCTGCACATCAGACCAATTATTTAATATACTAATGGTCTCAAATTGATTCAAAAACTCATCTACGTCGTTGAATCCATTAAACTTTTGTGTCGACATACCAAACATATTTTATTCGTGCACTTTTCACTTGTATCAATTATAAAACAATATTAAATAAGTAAAAATATAAATTACGACCTTTTGTTACGCTTTCCTGGTGATTTTTTTGGTAAAAATATATTAAAAATTTTCCAACGGAGTTCTCTTCATTGGAACTTTTCCATCATTCACCAGCTTGTGTTCACCATTTGAAAGCTTGAATTATATTATACTTCTCCCAATGCCAGATTTTTCAAAAAAAAAAATATATAAAATTTTCACATCGCAATTCTCTCATCTATCATTTGAAAGCCGGCGCATTCCACCAACTTGTAATGGATGGGGTAGCTCGTGCTGCGTAGCGAGAGGTACTTCTAAGAATATAAACTGGGATTATCTTAAGAACTTTGGTTTATTTCACCATTTTACATGATTTCACTTCCAGGTTACAAATCAATAATCAAAATGTCAAGATCTTTTCTTACATTTCATTTTCAAAGCATTCCATTTACAAATCTATTCACTCAGCCAGTGATTCTACTCATAGAGTAGAGCCTAGTCTACAGTACCGTCTAGGCTCTCGGGTATCTCTCAGAGAAAAGTTTAAGGAGACTGGTATCATGGCTGTGGCATCACAGTACATTTACTCAATGATTTTATATGCCCGTAAAAATTTACATAATTTCAATAAGAAAGAAGATATCCATAATATTAACCTTAGAGCTAAGTCCAAACTCATGGTACCACGATTTCGTTTAACCAAGGTAAACAACTCTTTTATGGGGAACTGTATACGTTTTTACAATAAGATTCCGGAGCATATATTAAGTTTATCATTACCTAAGTTTAAAAACTACATTAAAAATATTTTGATCGAAAAATCATATTACAAAATTGAAGACTGCGTGTTAGATAAAGATGTATGGAAAGACGACATGGCTCCAGAATCCACATAAATTTGATTCAAAGTGTATTCCATAGCATTTAAGTTTATTTGAAAAGAGCAATCCCTAGAGTTTCTTGCTCGTTCTTCTCAGGGAGGTCAGCGTAGTGAACGAGCAGTAGCTTAAATGTAGCTTAAATGTGACGTTTTCAAGTGTAAATTTATTTTACCTATGGAATAAATAAACTTTGACTTTGACTTTGAGTCGTGACATACAGACGGACATCAGTTTTATATCGCTTAAGTGGTTTGAAGTTCGAGCAAAAACGGTAAGAACGATAAGCTCTGTGTAGTCATAAATGATTATATCATCAATTTCTCAAAATATTATGATGGTTACGAATCGTTTTTATATAATAACCACAATGATATCAAACTAGGGAATACCCAGTACTAAAACAACGTAATTACTGAGAACACTTAAGAGCCTATACATCCTCAAATGGCTTTGGTTGATTCCACATAACAATGGAAGTGTTGATTCAATCGCTTTGGAAAAAATATATAGAAACATTTAGGACATTATTTTATTTATTTATTTATTTATTTATTTATTTCTGCAGTATGTACAATTTTGATGAGAAAGATCTTAAAAACAACACAATGTCAATATGTACATAAGCCCTGTTGGGGCATTGCAATTACATTTATAAATTACATCTTAAAATATTATAAAAGTAATAATTATAAGAGCAAGTATTTCAATTAGGCATATAGGCTTTATTTTATACATAATTTAATTTTAAAATTGGAATATTAATAATGACTATATAAGAATACATATTATTACTTTTATTTTTACTTTTATAAATCACATAGTAGATAAGATCGCAAAATGAAGTCAATGTCTCAATGTTTAAAAATCGAATAAATTTTTATTTGTCATTAAAGAATTCATGCATAGAATAATAGCACTTTTCAATTAAGTATTTTTTTAATTTAACCGAGAGAGTTTTATTATTTATTTCATTTTTAATATTGAGGGGTATTTTATTATATATTGAAATGGCTCTGTAGTATGGACTATTTCTGAATAGCTCCAGTCTTGATGTAGGAAGTACCAGTTGATTGTTGCGACGTGAACTACTCACAAATTTAAATTCGGCTATATTGTTCCGAACGAACTAATTAAATTGTTATTGAATTGATATTCAATAATTTTTTGTGAAATTACCTCACTAGTTATAATTATTAATACAAAGATCGAACACTCAGAAAAAATTCCTTCGATCCGGTCGGATTCGAACCGACGTCTTCTTGCATACCGTGCCGTTGTATTTTTATATAAATATTCACTAAAACCGAAAATTAACCTACTATTAAAACTAGCCTACATGAATTTGATTTTTGCCTCACTTGTGACAGTTCGTTTGATATGAAACTATCATTCTATGCGTTATTATTCTAAGGCTTTAACTATGTTTGTAAAAAAAATGAATTCTGAAGTAAAGCCAGTGTCCCGCCGCTCGATCAAAGCAAAAGCAATCGTAATAGTATGGGAATAAATTTAAATTCAGCTGAGGTAGTTAGTATCGACTCTTAAACCAGGACTATTTTAGAAACGTTCATATCCACGAATTAGTGATACCGGGTATCGAGCTCCCCCTCCATGAGGTCACCAAATTTTAATAGCATAGAATAAGTTACAAATGATCAAATTACATTCAAAGTTGTTATAGTTAAGATACAAATACTGAATTCTAGATTCTTTTTTCCGAAATTCCACATAAAGGCTTTGTGATTTCCATTTTGTTTCTCATATTTCTAGAATATAATATAACAATGTTATAATATGTATTGAATATATAATGTTGTTAGATATATATAATGTTTAACGTGTTGTGTATAGTATACATACATATCTTATATTTATAATTATAAGCTTTATTAATATGTACGTGCGTGTTAATATAAATGTAGATATTTACGTAACTGTATGTAATGTATGTATATAATGTCTTTATTCCATTTCAGTGTTCTTTTTTATTCGTTTTTCTTTTATTGTTATCATTTTGCTTTATGAAATTTTTATTTTGTTTCTATTTTTTATTCTTGTTTCTATTTTTGATATTTTCACGTAACACATACATCTACCGTCAATAAAAGCTTCATTTTTTAATATAGTGACATAATTAAAAAAAAATTTGTGATGTCTATAATGTTGGAAGATGTGAAGTTATAAATTAATGAAATAATAAATTAATTTCACGGCCTCCTTGGTCGAGTGGCTTGCATACCGGTTTTCATAGCGTCGCCATCTCTGAGATCCCGCGTTCGATCCCCAACCGGGTTAGTGTAGAAAACTGACTTTTCTATATTGTCTCGGGTCTGAGTGTTTGTGGTACCGTCGTTTACACATTATATTACATATTAACACAAGTACTTTAGCTACTTACTGTGGGATCAGAGCAACGCATGTAATGTTGTCTAATATTTATATTTGTCAAATATTATTATAATTTTGCTTACGTGCTTTAGTCCGACCCTAGAATAATTTTAGTGGATAACTGTAATTATCCTAACTAAACAGTTATTATAAAAGGAAGCTAAGGTTAATGTTGTATTACGGCTGTTGTTATCCCAAATAAAATAAAATTAATATAAATAAAATAAATCATAATAAACACCTCTTTACCCAAGATATCAAGTTCAACAGTTCACGGATAACGTGATTGTATAAAATTATGTTCAAGTACCACGTAACGCCATTTAGAGGTCAGTATTAGTTGAAATGTTATGTATAATAATTATGTAGTGTAGATTGTTGTGCCGTTTAACGACGATGCGTTTACTTTGGCCTATATGCGTCTTATTTGGAGTTGCTTTATTGGGTAAGTTTTTTTAACTTGATTCTGTTGTTTAAAAGTTCTTGGACACCGTTATACAAGCATGTACGAGTTACTTAGATAATAGTCGGAATTATGTCACAAAAAATAAAACAAATGCATAACACATGTCCATATAAAGCGACAACAAAGTCAGCTTGTGGTAACTGGAAAGTTACCGGCTAAGTGAGAAGGTTAAAAAATGTCTCACAGATGTCGCTATGGTGTCTAAAGTCGAAAACTCAACGCAGAGATCTACGATAGACACAGAAGAAATTCGTCGACGTAGTAAACTCGACCTGTAGCTCGGGTGATAAAGCAATGCGGACGGAATCCTGTGGTCGCAGGTTTGAGTCCTGTCGAGTGGAAGGATTTTTTCTTTGTATTTAATAATCATGACTAAGTAGTGGAGTTATTTCACAAATCATGTGATTTGACACTTATTATTGTGCCGCGGGTATAATGTAGAACGAATACGACGAAAACGCGTCATTTTGCATCCGATATTATATCCGATATGCTCGAGTTATACACTCTGATTTTCACTTGGATTGCGAGGAAATTAAACAGCAATATTACAAATAAACGATTATTTAATTAAAATTGAATGCAAAATACAACAATTAGACATATAACACGGATTAAAAAATAAAAGTAAAACTTATGTTATAAAGTTCCAGTGTGCGTGGCTGTTGCCTCGGTCTTAAACTACGATTTTATTTTATGCACTAGAGCATAAAATCCTATTTTATGCAGCCTACATCCAGCATAAGTACGAACTTTAAGTGAGTGAAAAAAATATAAAAAGTGTGTCATTTTTAGGAATTTACACACTTTAAATAGAGGTTAGATTACTTCTTTCATTTAGGAAGCGAAAATATGATCTTATACTGAAGGTAGAAGTTTAGCATCCAGACACCCGACACACCGGGCCCCCGATACTGCATATTGACGCTGGTGAAGGGTCTCTAACCTAGTACTCCTGTAAATTGGAGATGGTTTGTTCGGCAATATGGCGTTAACTAATTAACTAAATTTAGAGCAGACAAAAGGAATATGAAAATTGATCCCAACTAATATAGGCTTATTTTTGATAAAAATTTACTTTTACGCCTTTTCTTCCCCGAAGTATCGCTAAGGCCTCTTTCACACTGCTTCGTGACACGCAACGGTGTGCAAAGGTGCGTTTTTTAACTTTGTATTGAAATATCTCGAGGGTTCGTATAGAAAAATTGCGCCATGCAACACACTGACAAACCGCTTCTCTATGTGGGAATGCGGCGCGCGCGCCTTTCACGCGCGACGAGACGCAGGGTAAAGGCCCATTTATATGGAGAGAGTTTATCGCACGCTTCGTGGCGAAAAATCGTACGCGATTATCGTAAGCAATAATCGCCATAAGATTATCATATCCTAACGTTTACATTCAAGCAAGAACTAAAATCTCGCCAACGATTATGTCATATGAGATTCGCAAGTAACTTAGCACATTAGACTTGCGCCTGCTCAGTCTTTAAACGGAGCGGGCCGCAATATCGCTGCCCTCGCGCGTAGCAAATCAAGTGTTAACGCAGAACTGCATCTCCGCACTCAATTGCGTGGCGCATAGGAGTGTGGTGATCGCCTAAGCATTCATATTCAGTAGATTTATTAAATTTAGAATATATTTGTGTATCCTAAAGTTTACCTACACGAGTTTAGCGAGTTTAACGAGTAGGTAATAAAAATATCACATTCGTTGACTAATCTATTCATTCGTCGTCGATGATTTACATACTCAGCTTTTCTGAATCTCCTTGGCTATTTTTGGCGTTAGAACAGAAGGTTTATTTTCATTTGTTTTAATTCCATTTACAGAAGCTCAAGGAGTACCTCTTCATTCAATCACACAGCATAGACCGACATTCAGATGCGACTACACCTACTTCGTTGATGCCGAAGGGTGGTTCAAGCTCCACGCAAAACCAGCTACGTGGCTTGAGGCCCAGGCCGTCTGCCTAAGTGAAGGTACTGCCTTAGAATATTATTACGAATACCAAAAGTGTAAAAGTAACTTTACAATTTTTTAACATCTGCCAATTTACTTTCTACTGTTTACAGAAGTAATAGCAATATTTTAAATCTATTTTATTGTGTGTCACAATACCTCTGTACAGCGCCCTAACTTCGATTTCCTGATACGTCACGAAACGACATTAACTTTTCTCTTAACTGAACTAAATAGCTTCGTCTTGGTTTTCTTCTGGTATAAAGCTTCTAAAAAACCTGTCTTGACGCATCAGATGCACAAATGCCTTTTCGGTTCTCTATTGTCTTTAATAAGTTATTCTTTCTTCTGCCCTAACCTTAACACAAACATTGGTTCTTTCCTTTCAACTGGTTCCCTCCATTGCTCTCCAGCATCGCATTTCAATTGTGTCCAATCGGTCTCTCTACCAAGCAATGTAACACTTGAAATGTACACCGTTATCTGTTGATATATATTGTGTACACGAGTGTATTGGATTTATAGACTTAATTTTTCAGCCAGCAAGGAACACGGGGACTGTTTGAAGTATTGTAGACCTTCATCAAAATACATGTAGATCGCAATACGATATTCTCCTGCATCGTTAAAATTAATCATAGGCTCAACTCACACTGGCGCATAGTCAAAGCATCGCGTCGCGTCCTGTTTTTCAACTACAACGCATGACGACGCTCGCATTAGCGCGCCCGGATCACAGTGTGGACAGCGTCAGACGCCTCACTGCGAATCGCCTCACTCAAACGCAAAGCGACGTGCGAAACAAGTGTCGTCGTGCGAAGGAGAATCCTTGTGCCTTAATAGTGTGGAAATAGAGATGAATATGCTATAGGCGAAAAACATGACGCGACATTTCGACTCTACGCCAGTGAGCCAATGAATAAATTCAACAAAAAAAAATTATGTTCCCATAGTGTTAAGTGCTTCAAAACAACACTGTACACTCGTATAAGCAAAAAATAACGTCCATGTTTTGTTTAAAGTTTTCCTTTTACATTACACATTGTCCTAATATGAATATTGTGTACAATTATAATTGGATCCTCGCTCCTTGTGGCTGTTCTAAACGCCACTATTTTCAGGATCCAGTATTTTATATCCCGACACCGAAATCATACTGAGTACAGCAGTCCACTTAATGAGAGATGTCTCCATTTCAAGGATACATACAGGTATGATGATGCACAACAGGCAATCAAATCAAATTGTGACAAGTAAACCGATGGGTGTGACCCTTGATGAAGTAGGGTTGATGCAATGGGCACAGCCGAGTGATTGGCATCCATTTATCTGTCATAAGAAGAAGTTTGAATCTGTATTGCTGAATGAATGTGGTACTGTTGATGAAGGTGAGTTCCCACAATTCACGTAACATATAATAATGACTACCTTGTGGCATGTTAGATGAAAGTGTACATAGGAATGGTTGAACTGCCGACAGTCAGCCGTGACCATGGGACCGAGGGACAATACGCGATTTAGATTCGAAAAAATAGTATTACTTCCTATATTTTTTGTTTTTTTTTTATGTGGCAAACTTCGTGAGGTCCGTTGGTTCGTTTCATGGCTTCGTTGGCATAGCGTCTGGCATTGTTTGCTGGCAGACGTTGGTTCGAATCCAATCGGATCGTGGGTGTTTTTTTCATAAGTGTTCAATCTTTGTTTAACAATTATAACATATATAGTTTTAACAGGCGTATTACACGCCTAAATTAAGTGCTTTATGGTATAGTTTAAAGCCATTGCATCTGTGGCATCAGCTGCGGTATTGTAGCTCTCAAAGGGATAAATTGATCTCAAAGCAGTTTTTTATTTAAAAACTAATTTAATCGAGATAATTCTTAGCTATGTTTGATGAACATGTGCTGAGCAACCGTTAAATCAATGTTTATTTTACTTCCACTTAATCGATCGGCTTGTTATTTTGCTTATTGTCTAAAATCATCGAGTCTCTAATAATTTAGCAACCTTGATCTGATGCTGAAACCAAGGCTCTTAGTTCTAACAGAACTATCGCGTTTGGGCTCATTCAATTGGTCTTGGAAAAGGTCCATGTTTTATGAAGTTTCAAGGAACATGATTTGCAGATTATCACATGTACAATGCTACTGGCAATTGTTACAAACTCCACGAGAACAAGAGAAATTGGTTCGTAGCAGGGGCATCCTGCAAAGCTGAAGGTGGTCAACTTGCCATCATAAACAGTGAAACGGAGGCCGAGGTCATCATAGATATTTTCAAAAACAATCCAGCTGACCAAATTCCTGGAGATATCTGGTTGGATACTGCGTTCCTTGGATTCAGGTCACTGGATAGTGGACGGAGTTGGATTACAATTGATGGTAAGTTTTCGTTTGGCAAAACATATTATAATTCTACAATGCAAAGTGTATCGTATCGATCTATTAATCATAGATGCTGAAACGATATTGAATCCAGATAATTATATTGTAATTACACACAATGGCAATGAGAAAACCACTGGAAATGCATGGGGCATTTACCAACACTGCTGACAATTTCTTACAGAGTCTACGTCCTCACTTTTTTACAAAAAAGTACTTCTACCTTGTAACAAAACTTATAACATACATTATATTTTACCCTTTTAAAATAGAACCAAAATACATTAACATTAAAATACAATACAAAAACTGCAAGTACCGATAATTTATCGTTATACCACATACGGTGGAGTTGAGGTTGATCCCAGAAACATCGCGGCATCGCAAACAACGTCCGTGTGCCTATGCACAATTCGTCTGCCATTAATCACATGTTGCGTAATTTCTTCGTACCGTCGATTTTTTCTTATTTCTTGAGCTATAAATTTCGGCAGTCAGCAATGTCCTTACGCTATCACACGACTAACACAAAGCCAGAAACTCCTAATTATGCAAATTGCGTCCCTATAAAGTAGTAAATGAAGATAACCAAACAAGGTTTTTTGTGTCTAACTTTCTTCTCTTTATAAACACCTAAATTAAAAAATATATATTTACAGATGAAACCTTAAACATGGCAGGATATGCTATGTTTGCTCCAGGTGAACCAAACAACGCTGCAAGAAACGAATATTGTGGTAGTGTGGGTAGAAACGGGAAACTATTCGATGATCCTTGCATGCGAGAGATGCTGTTTATATGCGAGAAAAGGACAGATGAAATAATTTGTGATGAGAATAATAACAGTGCTGTGAATGACGAAAATGATATGTTTACAGTATTGGATAGAAGTGAAAAGGCTGAGAAGCTTAGAAGTATTTTAGGTGGAAATAATGTATGACTTAACCTCCTGTGTGACAAGAGACCTTTTTTAGAATATTTTAAGAAACTTTCAGGAATTGTTAATATTATGGAAACTTATGGGAAACACATTGAAAAAAAAATTTGTTCAGGTAAACCAGATTTTCACAATGGGACTATATTAAGATGTCCTTTTAAAAGAATATAAGCGTTTTGAATGCTGGTAAGTGCACTAATTAGCAATTAACTGAAATGAATACTTGAATAAAATATTATTTATTGAATATAAATAAAAAAATACAAAATGTACTTATTAAACTTGAACTCAAAGAACGAACAAAAAAAATTAATATTTCTTCCGAAAAAAACGAGATATTACTTCTATCATTTAGACGTTATTACTATTAAACTAATTTACAACATTTATAAAATTGTAAAATTTTTAACGAACTTAAGAGATTAACATATTCACTTCCAGGCTCGTGAAATTCGGTGAAACAGCTTCTATTTCGCACATAACAGAAAAATCACACATTTTTTACAGTTTTTCTTATTACAACCACTTTGTAGCGTGACTGTTACACCTTTAATTCACTTATAGTCAATCAGAGACACCTCTTCCAGTTTTCAAAATTTGTGTTTTATTTGTACAATCAACATTATTGTTTGAATTTCGTCATCGATATACTGCTCGTAGAATCTATACTATTCCCATTCTGTAGTATCTATCGGCAAATAGGCGGGTTGCAAATATCTACATTCTGACTTCAAACTTGTCTTTCGACCAATTATCTTCCTTATCATAGGTGTCCTGGCAACTGAGGACATGTGATCGGAGTGTAGGTGCTGCACGTGTGTTTGAAGTACCTCTTGCTCGACTACACACACATCTACGTGAACGCGACATGGATCTCAGAAGTCCTCTCGATCGCAACGATAATGATGATGAACAGGCGAATACTTCAAAATTATCAGAAAACGCTGGAGAAGACACAACAGCATCAATACATGGCACTGTTATTACAATAGTGTTGTAACTTAAAATATGTGAAATTCAAGATTATTCTAGTATTAGTGAACGTACAATTTGATTATCTACACGTCAATTAACCTGTTGTTAGAATATTGGAAGAAACCGTGCCGATACCGTGCAAGTCAATGATCTTTGGATCAAATTTGTTTACCGCAATTAAATAAAAAATAGGAATTTACAATTACTTTTTTCATTTAGTTTTTTATAGATTTGGATTCAGTTTCGGATATAGAATGACCTCTGTAAATATGGTGAAAATGCAAATCAACACATTGTATATATAATATTTAAAATATTTAGTTAATGTGCTATGTAAAAAACACGTCAAGGCATACTTGCTCAACATTTACATTTGTTCTTTGCAAAGGACATAAAGTATGCGTGCGTGCGTGCGTTCGTGCGTGCGTGGGACGTGCGATGTGCGACGTAATTTTACTGTTCCTAATACTTCGACTACCAATTCTAGATACTCTCTGAATTACTAAAAATAATCCCCTTGTTAGTTAATATGAATATAATTAAATTATACTTGATTATTTGAAACTAACTTTGAAAATAATCGCATATAATAAATACAACGTTTGGTTTGTAATAATATTCGGTTTGTATTCATAAAAAAACAATGAACCATAATCGGGTATGTCAATTTCACGTTAATTTCTACCAATTATTTTCACTTCTATATTACTGAAATTTGTGTGATTATCGCTGCACTGCAGACAAAAATATAGGTATGTAATTAGAGAAGCTTTTACAACAATTATTATCAATAGGAACACTGGATAGAATGTTCCAAAATACGTTGTAACTTAGTTTTTTATTTTTTATTTTTTATTTATTTTATTGTTTTAAGAAAAAAGTATACATAAATAATGTAAAACACCGTTAAACCCTACTTGGGTTTGTCTCGATGCCATTCATTCCTTGCTACGAACAAACCAATACAAAATATTAAAAAAAAATCTTATAAGTAGGTAGACATTGTTTTTATCTTTATTTGGAGGCGTACATTTGTACAACAGTGAAGACGGCAAAGTATTTTGTTATTCGAATAGACACTGAGCGACCCGTCCGGAAACCGGTCTGTTAACAAGTGTACAGGATGCCCCAAAAAACAAACGTTAGCACATTAAGTAAAGAATAAATTTAATTTTAAATGTATATATTTTATAGTATATGTAGTATTTATAAATAATATGTATTATTACTATATGTAAATAAACGTCAATTATGGAGTACAATTTTAAGACAAAAATTAGTGTCTGAACATTATGTATCTGTGTGTGTTGAAAAATATCTTTTGAGTATGATTTTGATATTTTTAGTTAGTCTATATATTTGCTCTAAATGAGAAGAAAATGTACGGCCATAGGACGTTAATCCATATGATATTATACTTTCAGCCAATGCTGTATACATTGTGATTCTAATATTAAAAGGTATTCTATTACGTATGATGTAAAATTTTGCCAATATATATTTTGCCGTAATCTGTTGCAAACCCAATCAATGTGAGGACCCCAGTTAAAATTATTATCAGCTATGACACCCAGATATTTTAGTTCTGTTACCTGCTGTAGCTGCACGCACTTGCATTGTACGTCAGTCGATTTTACGTGCAAGCATTGGTGACTATGTCCTGTGATCGAAACAGAACTTACCGTTTTATTGTAGCACGAGTGTATATGTAACAGTTTCGTTTTTTCGTTATTTATAACAAGTCCAGCATCATGGGACCATTTGCTTACTAGATCAAAGTCATGTTGAAGCTGCCGTTCAGCTGTTTTTAGGTCTTTCTCAGCAGAGATTAGGCAAGTATTGTCGGCGAATTGATAGATATTACATTTTTTAATACAATTGTTCATGTCATTGACGTATGATAGATAATGCAAAGGCCCCAACACAGAGCCCGGCGCCGTACCCTCAGTTACCTTGACCTCATCACTAAGAGCACCTCCTATTTTTACGTAATAAGACCTATTTTGCAAATAATTTTGACACCACAATAGGGGCAATCCTCTTATTCCCGTATTGTTTAATTTCCTCACTAAAACATCGTGTCGCAAAGTGTCAAAAGCCTTACTGTAGTCGATCAACACGATGAGGACGTGTTTTTTACCATCAAGGTGTGTATTAACTTCATCTGTAAATCTAGATAATAATAATGTTGTGCTTTTTTTTTTGGCTTGGAAGCCAAATTGATTTTGAGACAGAACATTATGTTGTCGGTAAAAGTTAAATATTTGGTTACTAATGTATTTTAGTAACCAAATGTATTTTAGTAAACACGTTTGTGCGAAGTTTTAAGACTTTATTACTGTCGGCGTCTCTGTTTCGATTACATCAACAACTAAATGTTTTTCACAGACGAAAGCGAACGGAAAATCACAACAAACATCATTCAAAAGACCACCATGCTCCATTGCTCCGCAGCTCTCCCTGTTGCCGAAACGGTCAAGTTGGTCAGGGTTGCCTCTTATGGGTGAGTTACTTGGTTGGTGTGGAGCCCACATCGCATAACCTGCTTCTTCAAGACTTTCACCTGAAACACATAAGCCAATTTTGTAAAGATATGTATTTATAAGGTATTTGTTGGCGACCTGCATCGTACTATTTATTCTTCGCCGTATCATTTCATTTTGATCATTATGTACCAATGAAGATGGCTATTTACACCAAATATTAGTCCGGATTACGACAAGTGTGAATAAAGATACTCACCATGTATAGTAACCCAAGATTGGTTAAATTTAAGGAATCCAAGAAACAAGTAGGTCGTGTCATTCGGTTTCAAGATACGAGGCGTATCCAGCTCAAAAATACTGGATAAGATCTTGGCCTCTTCCAGGCTGTTTATGATGGCCAAATGTCCGCCTTCAGCCAGGCAGATCTTGTATGCATCTGACCAGATTTGTGGCTGCAGATGAAATTTGTAGCATTCGCCCGTTGTTTCGTAGTATTTATATTCTGCAAATTAATATAGGTATAATTATTAATTTAATTCGCAAAACTGCATATGAGTCCCAACATCTTCCTTCCTTCATCGCCGCTGGTCATTTCTACAAATCAATTCTGCAGATTTAAATTTAAATAACGTTTGTCTTTCCCAGTTTTTCCTGTCGTTATTTGACACATTTAATAAATATACACGTGATCAGCCAAATCAAAAATTATTAGCGTACATTTATGCATATTAAATATTGGATATCAGTGACAATAGTAAATTTCTTCACAGTATCCATCATAATGATCCGAATTTCACAATTGGTAAATAAATAAATACCACACACACTCATAACCCCGCCCTAGGGAAACCCAGTATCGCGGATGTTGTGGACACACACATAGACGATCACAAATTACGCCAAACTCACAAAAGAAGTACATGTAGACAAATATTTCTCCCAGTCTGGGAATCGAACGCAGGACCTCTACGTAAACGACCAGTGACAGTTTGGCCACGGAGGCAACTATCGATTTCCTTACCTGTTAATAATTGTGATGTTTGCTGAGTACTTATGATGATTTAAAAACTGTATAAAATTGTACAATAATAACAATGAATCTATAGGCAATACCCAGAATACCCAAACCAGAATCAACCTAAATTGGCCCATATCGGGAATTAAACCCGAAAACTCCTCACCAAGCGCACATAGTACTAACCGCTGCTGTGACACTGAAGATCTGTCGGTAATTATTTTAGTGGCTAATTGTAACTAGCCTTTACAAAAAGCGTAAAACGTGTGTTAAGGTTAGAATTGTATTAAGTATAGCTGTTGTTATCCCAAATAAAATTAAATAAGAGTATAAGCATATTCCGTAATTTAAGACGGACCAAGCGCCGCAGGCCGAGCCCGAACCCGTGAGGTCTCGGTCTCGTTTATTACAGAATTAAGGCGGTCGCTCGATGTTTATAAATTATCATCAAATAGTAGACGTGTTCATTGTTGTGTTTGCTTTCTTTGAACAAGAGTGCCTCAAATTCTAATAGTTTAGAATTTGATTTCTATTTCATAACTAATAACCATACTCCATAGTCAAAATACCAATCTGTTGTTGTTGTAGCACATACATTTACAGAAAAAAAATTGTTTTCTAGCCTATTGCACCACCATGGCTCGAAGTACAAAAGATATTTTTGATTAAAATCAAAAGGTAACCAAGTTTTCTTTAAAAACAATCGGGTTGATTTTTTATTCCTAATAGAGGTTTTGTACCCGTGAACATCTTCATCGTATAAACATCGTACTCCTATCGCTTTACTTAAATCAATGACCTAGCGCACACTTGTATTAACTACACTTTTGGAAATTTTACAGTACAGCAATTTAAAAGTTTAACTTCGAATTCCCGATACAACTTGCTATCTGTAACTGATTTATTGCATTAGGCAGTAATTTACTTTATAAGTCAATGGCTGTTACACAATTAGCGGTTAATTAAAGAGAAAGCCATGCTTACATACTTTAGGTAATGAAAAAAATCCCAATTGTATGCAATTATTACATCAAGTACTAAAATTTTACCAATCTTCTCAGCATAATGTGAATGTGTATCTCTGTGTCTAAGCAACTACATGATTTTTTCTGGAAATAAAATTACTTAATTTAAAAACGTAGGTAGTAAGTAATTCCCTAAAAAAAATAAGAACATTTCAATTATTGGAGCCCTGTATTGAGCTGAGCTTACTTGGCGTGACGCTTTTACAAGTAAGAGACAACACATTGGCGTTCCGATAAATGCGAACAATGCAAGGTGACATTTAATACATTTGGCACACAAAATTATACAATATGCACTTAGTGCAAGTGTGTGCTAGATCATCGAAATGGTAACAAAGTTGAATTTAAGGTTTAACTCATCAGACGTTACGTAATATTACTTTAGTGAATAACTTTTGGCCATTCACCAGTTCCGATTACTCGTTATGCGGTCCTCCTACCGCAAAATGGCGGCTATTTGGTTTCGCAGTTTAAATACAAGTTTTTATAAATAAAAATTATTATTCTACATTGCTAAATAAATACCCTCCTACTACTACAACAAAAACATCTCAAATATAATGCAGTAATACACCGCAAATCCCGCACTTAAAAAGCAGTAATGAAATTTTTGGTGTACTTGGATAAATATGATAATATTCCGTTTGAGTGGTTCTAACGTTTACCATGAAATTACTCCTTAAAGTATAGTTTATAAACATTTATATTCAGGGTAAACTTAAAAAACGCTACTTACGGTATGTTTTCAATAAATAAACACCGAAATCACCAGCCCAAACAATAACACACACGATTGTCGTGACGTATTTTTGAAGTTGTTTATTTTTTATAAATGACAGACCCAGGCATTAAAAACTTTATGGTTTGCTAAGGTAGTTACCGAAATAGCAATTAATATTAGTTCTTTTACCTGTTATAACTTCGATATCCGATAAATCGGTATAAAATCATCACCGGCACCTCTAGGTGTGGTATGCTTCTAGAGACGCATGAATCGCGTGAGCGGTTAAGGTTTAACTCATCAGACGTTACGTAATATTAGTTTAGTGAACAACTTATGGTCATTCACCAGTTCCGATTGATACTATCTCCAACACGAAACTTATTTCGGAATTTGTTTTATACAGTTGTGGCAACATTTGTTTTTTTATCGCCACCTTGCTTATGTTACGAATCTATAACGAGGTATTTGAACGCGAACCTAAATTTTAAGGTGTTTGACGTGGCAACCGATGGCGTGGCGTTTTGGGATAAATGTGAATTTAATAACTAACTATAGGGCCAAAGTCAAAGTTAAATAATCTTTATTTCATAGGTAAGCATTATTACACTTTTATTTTAAAGTTATACCTAGAAATACAACTGTATCTACAAGGTTAAATTTTTCGTTACTAACTATAATGTTTGTGTCCCTCTGTCCAACAGTGGGTAGTGTAAATTTTACACAATTTGTTTTTTCTCATTAAGGAGCAGGTTATAAACTGCGAAGCAATTAACTACTTTGGATATAGCATTGTACACATCGTCATAGGAACATTGGTGCCGTTTAACTTTGAATAATAAGGAAGTATCATGATAAATACTATCTCACGCTCTATACCCTCCACGAGGTTAGGTCAGTCATCAATATAAACTAAAAATCAAAAATAGAACTTGAATTAAACCTTGAGGGACGCCCACACTGATTCAGACCCTGATGATCTCGTACCGTTCACATGGACTTTCTGTATCCTCCCACACAAATATGATATAAGAAGGTCGAGATCACGGCCCGCCACTCCATAATGGCGGAATTTTCTTGACTTTGTATCATGGTACTTAACTAGAGTATCATGGTGCACACAATCAAAAGCCTTGGAAAAGTCACAGAATAAACCAATAGCATCATGAGAGTCTTCCCATGCATCAAATATATAAGTTTTATCCACTCTACACCAGCATCGGTTGTAGAGTGGCCCCTAGTGAAACCAAAAGGGTTGCAGTTAAAAACTAAAATTTAGCAAGTTCTCTGTAGTACTTTAAAAGAATTATCTCCACTCCCATATAAAAATTATGTCTATAAAATAATTCGTTTTAAACTTTTATTTTACCTCGTTTTCGGGATTTTATATTATGATTAGGTAAAGTCATTGACTTACAAATAAATGGACGACGGGTCTAATGCAAAAACCACGAAAAAAATGTCCCAAGTCAACCTATTCGAAATTTAAATTGTTATGTCATCGCAGTATCGCGCTGTCCGTAGAACAAATGAAGACTAAAGCGGAGTGTCGCGCTCTGTATACGATTTTAGCGCCTTACAAGTGCGGACACTTTTTAGCGCGGACCCGACGTCCATATAATTGTAAGTCAATGGGTAAAGTACATCCTATCGTGTAACAAATTAGCACATTAGTTTGACAATATCCTTTGGTGTATCGTATACGTTTTGTAAGACCGTTATTTAATAGTAAATACCTAAAACATTTGATCTAGCAAAACGTCTTGGATTAAAAATCTACCTTAAATACCTAATAAATCTACCCTAATCTAGATTAAAACATTACTAACCAGAATCAGTAGTTCCACATTCATTGATGTTAGGAATCCCCTTCTTTTCCTTTCTGTAGCATATGAAAAAATACAAATGCTTGCAATCTACGATGTCAATGGTACCCGAAGGTAATAGAACAGTGCAGGGGGACGTTGCCATTTGAGGGCATGTCTGAGAATTCGTGAACTCTACGGGCATTTCAGACAGGGGAGTACCTGCAATGGAATATGATGTGTATTGTTCATTCTAATACCTTTGTAACACTCCATAATTTATGTCAACATCATATTTATTTTATTAATCAGAGAATTTGGATGTCAACGTCAAGAAGCTAACCCACAAGGTAGCATCGCCTGGCATATGTGATTACAAGTAGCATTTGCTACCTTCTGATGAAAGAATACAAAAACAACAATGATGAAGAAATCCAGTTAGAAACGAACGCTTTTTATTTTGAATTACGTTGATCTTAACTATGCGTAGGTTAGGTTTAATAAAAAGACACCTTTCACACCGCTGCTGAAACTCCAAGATATGCTCTAGCGAAGTGAAACATTATTACCATCAATGGAAGTGTAAACTCCATCGGAGAACCAAGCATTAACGCCGGTGTAAATACTACAGTTGGCCCTGCCGCCGGCCCGTCCGATAGCGTCAAGCATAATTTGCAGCATAGGGTCGTTAGACGGAGACGCGAGGGTCGCACCTGCGGAAGAAAAAATATTTTTGTGTTGAAATTGTTATTAGTGTGGTAGGTGGCGTAGTAGTTTATACGTGTCTAAACAATCCTCTGTACAAGTCATGGAAGCCGCTCGATCGCCATAAGCCATTTTCTCCTTTCCTTCCTTCTCTTTTAATCTTCTTGGAGGAATCTGGGTATAGGAAGAACCAATATTTTATATAAAATTTTTAAACGTTACGCCGTCGACTTGCCTACCTTCGAACTGGCACTGTAAGTAGGCGTCATTCCAGTTGGTAGGTACTCGGTGCAGCTTCAGCCAGCCGTTTATTGAAGGCACGTATTGGTAGTCAGGTCGAAACTTTGGAGGTTGCGTATTCAATGTTTCAGCATCTGCAATTATTCTCAATAATTCAATAAACTCCTTGAATTGATGTGCACCTATATAGTTAAGTTATCAGTGTAATAACTTCAAATAAGGAGGAGCTTTAATTCTACAGTATTTATTTTTTTATATTTTCTGTGTGTGTGTTACGCGATGTTGTTAAGAAATACTGTTTATTGTTCGTGTATTTAATGTTTTCAAAGTCAAAGTCAAAGTCAAAGATTATTTATTCCATAAGTAAAATAAATTTACACTTGCAAATGTCACAGTTAAGCTACTGCTCGTTCACTACGCTGACCTCCCTGAGAAGAACGAGCAAGAAACTCTAGGGATTGCTCTTTTCAAATGAACTTAAATGCTATGGAATAAATACACTTTGAATCAAATTTGTGTGGATTCTGGAGCCATGTCGTCTTTCCATACATCTTTATCTAACACGTAGTCTTCAACTTTGTAATATGATTTTTCGATCAAAATATTTTTAATGTAGTTTTTAAACTTAGGAAATGATAAAGTTAGTATATGCTCCGGAATCTTATTGTAAAAACGTATACAGTTCCCCATAAAAGAGTTCTTTACCTTGGTTAAACGAAATCGTGGTACCATGAGTTTGGACTTTGCTCTAAGGTTAATATTATGGATATGGATGGTTTGTGTTTGATTTGTATGAAACAATAGGTGGAACCTTGTAACTGGGTTCATGTTTCTTTTTCTGTGCTTATTAAATAAACCATTATAATTAATAATAAGTGAGTGCCCTTTCTACTTTGCTGTGCCCTTACAGGGTGTCACATGTACACTTACAAACCACTGTACATAAATTATTAATAAGTGTGACAATGCAATAAATAAATAAATATTTAAAGCTGTTGGTCTTCCATGAACAAATAAATAAATAAATTGCTTCGACATTTGTGAACCGATTTAGATTTTGGTTTTTGCAAATTACTTTTTTCACTCTTTCATTAACCGAGTTCAATAAAACTTGACTTTTTCTTTTTCATTGTTCTGCAAAATGACGAACTTAATTTCTACTTACTGTTTATTATTTCTAATACTTCTATTCATTTTCACCACTGGGTTGTATCAGAATTGGCAACAGTGCCTATCACCCAATTTCCCGAGCCAGTGTCAGCAAGGAATTGGCACTATATTGGTATAATGTGGCCTTCCCTTTTGGGTGCACTTGAAGGTATGATATTAAAAAAATATGAAAAAACTAGTTTTACAATGTACATAATCTGTTTTAGTTCTTGTGTTATTTCCTCATATTATTTCTTTTAAAATTATTTTTGTACAAGCAGTATTATATCATCATCATTAGTTCTGGGATGACTTCCGGGATGCACGTCTTCCATTAGTACTCTGTTAAAGGAATATCAACCAAAAGGCGAAATGCAATAAGTGAAATATGAAAGGACTAATTTACCGTTATTTGGTGTGGTTGATGAGCAATTGGCCGTAAGGCTGGTTTTGCGTTTATTATAGCAGGTGCCCCAATCAGCTGGGAAGCACGTAAACAGCGTACAGTTGCGTTACCAAGTATGAAAGCCAAATACCCTGCCTATTTCTGAGGCTACTAAAGAAGGTTTATATTCGCGCCATATGTTGATAATCAGGGTGCAGTAATGTACAGACAAAATTCCTGCTGATGTTTTACCAAGGGCTTGAGAATGATAAAGCATCATTAATGTATGTGTAACCCAGATATTATGAATGTACGTAAGCCATTGACACGTAGGCTCACGACTTCAAGGGGAGGTGTTATATCATGAGTCGCGTGCTTGTCGGTACAAGTGTCAGCCACATTGTTTTTTCTATTGTGCTCTAAGTTTATTTCTAATAAACTGCAAAATTGTGTTCAGAAGCTGCTCTATATAAAACTATTATTCACAAATCACCAGTGGCTAAAATATAAATAGTATCATATTAATTCTACGTTGTTAATATTTGAAAACTATCATAATTAGCGTATTATATTACATTAAAAGTTACTTTTACATAATATATTAAAATACGAAAAACAAGGCATGGGTACTTGCCTTGCTTTACTTGCCTCTCCGTATTTTATCTTTAAGTACCTACCACGTAATACCAAATTCGATTATGTACTTTGGCTCAAATCTTGTGTTTACATTATAATTTTATGACGATATTTTACACAATCTTTTACAATCTTGTATCAACATGGATTCGTTGATATTGACATTTTAATGCATAACTGATGATCGATTACGGAAGATTTTATCGGTTAGTCGAAAACTTTGAAATATCGATTAGCTTTTTAATGGAAAATGTTCACATGACGCTTATACCTTCGAAATTGATAACGTGATAGCATTTTAGACATCAGCTAAACTACATTTTACTAAATCCACATACCGACGCTGGAAAGGCGAAAGGGCTAACTTGCATTTGGAAAAGTTGCCTACTAGAAAGTTTTAATTATTGATAAGGATTACAAAATGCTTTTGGCATACATTGGTAAAATTTGTCAATACTCGAAATAAACGCCACGTTAGAAAAAATGGCTAACATTCACATTTTTACATAGAGACGTTACGGATACGGAACTAACGTTTTATGTTTTAGTTAGACGCTGCAAAATACCTTACAAGTGGGATAAGTCCGATTCAATGTAAAACAAAAGCATAACACAATTCCTTAGACATTATGATTTTTTAGCATAAAGACTTAAGATACTAAATATGTTAATGCCCCATTCTCGGCCCTTATTTTCTGTTTAATTAATTCGATATTAAATAACGAGTGATATGTCAAAATAAAATATGCTGATCTAAAATAAAGAAAATACAAAAGAACAAAAAGTCAAAGAAAAATGACATAATCGCTTGAACGCTTCTATCGAATCCTTACAATATCCACATACATACAACAGGTGATGAAAAGATGGAGGCGGTATTAAATAGCGCAATTCCATCGCACACTCTCCGTGATTTATCTAGCAGAATACCGATAAGCAGGCAACTTTACGGCAATGTTCAAGGCTTTGCAGTTTTGCCTCTACTTCTACTAAGTCTGAGTCACCTACAAGCTTCTTGGTACACTTTGCAACTGAATTCAAGGTGGCCAAGCCAGGCAAAGGCCAAAGTCCAGAAAAGTTCAAAGACTTTGCAAGGGCCTTGCTTTTCTGTAGTGTCCATACATATGTTAGAGACATACACAAGGAGATCTCCCGTAGATCGCCCTCGTCTGAATCCGTACTGGCGATCACTCTGGAGGTCGTCGTCTTCAATGTATGACAGCATGGCATGCCTGAGGTAAAGTAAGTGATAGTATGGGAAAGCGAGCCGTCCGACCTCAGCAGAAGGGTTAAGAAAGGCGACTAAAATTTGTTTCGACCGCTTTGGCCAGGGATCAAAAATATTGGCTACCTGCTAGAC